AACGCATAGGGGTATCATGGGTGAAACAGTACACTCTGTTATGCCCATGACACTGCTTGTGCCTATAGGCGAGGGTTACCACTTTCCATCAAGTGGGCCGTCAGCTTGTTTGCCATTCTAAGTTGTATAAAAAAAATACACGTAAAAAACCAAGAGAACTAATCAATCAATCAATACATATAATAAAATCGTAACTGGTCGCTGTCTATATTTGGAAGATATATAAGAAAAACTGTAATAGGGGAGCTTTATGAACGCAATACGAGTAGAATCCAAAACAATGATATTTAGAATTTTTATCCGTTTGTATGTAGGTTTGTGCGCGCTTATCTCAGAAACAGCTTAACCGATTTAAATGCGGTTATTAGTAATGCGTTGCGGTTTGCTCCACGTAACATTTAGTGTTTTATTTCAATCGGTTTATAAATAAAAAATTATAATCAATCTAAAGAATCACATATAAAATGCCATAAAATAACCGATCAGTCGAATTGGCTAAAACTTTTTTTATTGTATATTATATTGATTTTAGAAAATTCTGTCTACTCGTGCGAAGCCGGGTTGGATCGCTAGTGTCAAATTTAGATCTAATTTTACTTAATAATACTCTATTACGTAGAAGAAATGCACTTCTCAGAAAAATTCAGAAGATTTCCTTTTGGAACAGTTTTATAAGGAGCCTCTCTCTTAGGAATCTATCTTACCATATACTGTCGTAGATCGACCGCAGTGTCAAACTTGTATACCATATCGTCATCATATCAGCCGTTAACTCTAAGCCGTCTCCCATAAGAAGACAGTTACCAGCAGATACCGCGCTAGTGAGAGATGATAGCTGAGGAAGTAGGTTAGTTAGCCCATCATGACGAATTCGAGAATTAAATCAGAGGCAGACTTTGTACAACAGTCGATTGCTTGGGTACCTCTGTCCCATTCGTGTTTCTACCGTGAAGCAGTTGTGTTTGCATGGCTGTGTTTCGGTTTGAATGGGATATGGCGTGAATTTACAACAGAGAAATACTGGTGACTTGTAACACAGGTTCTTCAAAACCTACCGCAAGCATCAGTCTCTCACAAAATTGGTCTTCATATCAAATTGTACCTCAAGTTATCACTTTATACTATGTTTTGTGAAAAGAAAAGAAACCGTTCTTACATTCATTCATTCAATAACATCTGAGTTCTCAGGAATAGCAACGCATGGGAGTATCATGGGCGAAACAGTATTCTCTATTATATCCATGGTACTGCTCATGTCTATAGGCGACGGTTACCACTTTCCATCAGGTAGGTCGTCAGCTTGTTTTTCATTCTAAGTTGTATAAAAAAAAGCGATAATTTTCTAAGGAAACCGCAAGGGAGTTTACCTAGTAGGGCATATTACTAACAATAGGAATATTAGACCCCCATTACTAACAATCCCATTCCCCTCTATCCTGAAGGGTTGCTATCTATTTAAGTATGGTAATTTCCATAGATATTCTATTGGTCCGAAAGAATTATGCAAATAAACAGCCGGAGGCAGTTGTTAAATCTGATGCAAATATTCTAAAAACACAGGACTTCATTAAAATTAACAATTCTAGCAATTGGTACATTCTAAAAGCTTTAAAGATCGCTTACCTGCTTTAAATGATCCGTATTTTCTTGCGTCTCGAATAGCGTTTCTGTTTAATATAAAAAAAAACTCAAGTACTTAATCACGATGCTTTATTCAATCAACTCATGTGGAAAACAAAAAGTTTGAGATTAATCTTATTGTGGATATTGACTCAAAATTTTGCTTAGCGAGGTTAATGCAATGATGTAACAATTGAGCGAAATAAAAAGTAGACTATGTCCTCTTTCCTCCCAAATAATTACGTGTATACCAAATCCCACGATAATGATGAGCCGTTAAGGCACTGAGAGGAAACAAATAAGCAAATATATATATTATTGCACTAAAACATACAGTAACAGCAATAAGTTAATAACAATGTTAGCAAAGGTGAACTTATCTCTAAAAGAGATTTCTTCCTACGTTCTTTTCTATCCCATACAGTACGTAAATATGTACCAAATTTTCAAAATACTTCAATATTTGTAAACGAAGGTCTTTGGTCAGCGATGAACTATGGAACCGAAACATGGCTTTCATTTAAGAGTTTCCTCTTGTCGGTGCAACTAATTCATGGATCTTCTTCCAGCCAGCTCTATCCCAGGCCATATCCTTGACCTCCCTATGCAACATTACACCTAGTGTTTCTTTTATCTGTCCCATGTAGTTATTCCTCGGTCTTCCTCTTGTTCTTTTGCCCTCTATTTTCCTTCTACTATGCTCTTTAAAAAATCATCATGTTGTATAAGGAGGCCCAGCATTTTGCCTCTTCTATTCTCTATTGTCCGTATGCAAAAACTGCAAATTACTCAGCGAGCTATAAACAGAGCTATGCTTGTATGTATCGGATTTTTTTGCGTGACAATAACAAATGTGGAGTTGGTCACATATCTCGGAGAACCAACAGCCGATGGGAAAGAATAATTATTGAGTGGCGACCCTGTACGGGCAAAAGCAGTGTAGAATGACATAACGAGTAAACTCAAAAACTACTGGATCGATTTCAAAAACTCCTTCACCAGTAGAATGCCAGAGTAACATAAGCTACAGATTATTTTCGAATTTTTGTTTCTACCCGCGTGAAGCCGGACCGAATTGTTAGTATTAGTAGAAGTTAATAAGTATCCCACCTTACCGTTTCATTAGTTAATTGAATAAATAAATAACAAAATATTAAGTTATCAAACAAGAGATAATTTTTCAATTATAACAATTAATCTATGAGCTATCTAATAAGGAGCTTACATATTTTATTTGATTCTAATTAATTGTTGTTACATTCTGATGTTATCTTAAGATGATATTAAATCATTGAGTGAGACGCAAAATATACTAAATATATCCAAATAAAACTATTTATATTTACTAATACTATAAATATGAAAGTGAGTTTGTTTGTTCATATGTTTGGTAGGTACATCTTGGCGCTATAACAGCTTGACTAAGCGATATGAAATTTAACATACATACACTATGGGAAAGAAAGGTTTTTAAGTGGCGACCGCGTATAGGTAAACGCAGTGTAGAACGAGCCCCCACTAGATGAAGTGACGACCTGAAATGCGTTGTAGGGAGTCGGTGGATGCAGGTAGCTTAGAATCATTCTTTATGGCGGTCTTTGGGGGAGGCTTATGTCTAGCTGTGGACGGATAATGACTGAAATGACGCTATGGGATGCAGAAAAGCATAGGTTTTTATCCCAGTCAGACAGACGAAGCTGTAGATAAAAGCTAGTCCAATAATAAAAAAAATGTAACTGCCCCATAGAAACAAAGCTTGTAAGCTTTGCTTAGTTTAAGACTAGATGGCGCCATGTGATTCATTATATATAATTTTAAAATTATTTAAATTTTCTTGTTTATTATCAAATACCCCAGCGAATGAACTTTGTTCACGTATTTATATCGTCTTTGATTATAACATACACCTTTATAGATTAATTTGTTTTAGTGTTAAGGTATCTAAACTAATATTGTAATAAGGAAATTTGTTCTTTTTTCCTGTACATAAACTCAAAAAGTGCTTAATTTTGAAAATTATTTTACCAATAGAAGGCTACGTTATTAGTGAGTAAATTTGATTTTTAATTATAAAAAATAGATATTACTTCAATAACTATATACCCGTGCGAAGCCGGGGCGAGTCGCTAGTCTCTAACATAAGAGTCGCAATGTCATTTTAAGTTTTTAAAGACGTTTAAATGTTTTTAATTAAAATCACGCATAAAGGTTTGAAAGGTTTGCTTCATGTAATTTTATAATTTATATGGCAATTAAATTACTATGTATGTATGGGACTCTTCAAAAGAATATATTAAGGTTTTTTCAAGGTCAGGAACGCGCACGTGACACCCCTAATGTTGCAAGCGTCTATAGGCTACAGTCACCGTTTACCATCAGACGGGCTGTATGCTTGTTTGCCACCTATATATATTTTTATAGTATAAAAAAATTATGACCATCGCCAATAGACATAAATGGCAACACTAACATCTCAGGGTATATGTATAAAAAATAATAAATATATATATATATATATATATATATATATATATATATATATATATATATATATATATATATGAAGGACGCCATTACTCATAGTAACTGTATTGCAAATGTACAAGAGTGTTGCAAAAATGAGTCGATGTAAAAATAAGATGAATGAGATGTGGGTGCATGTAGGTGCATTGTGAGCTACATTTGTCTTCATATTCTCATATTTACCCAATAACCTTTTTACTAAGTTACATTAGCCAGCTTATTCACCAGAGGGAGACTTTGCACAAAAGTCGATTGCTTGGGTACCTCTGTCCTATTCGTGTTTCAACCGTGAAGCAGTTGTGTTTGCATGGCTGTGTTTCGGTTTGAAAGGTAGGATATGGCGTGAATTTACTGGGTACAGAGGAATAACACCTGAGTTCTCAGGAATGGCAACGCATGGGGGGTATCATGGGCGAAACAGTATACTCAGTAAGTTGTATAAAAAAAAAGATCGGTCATCAGTCAACGACGGAAAATACACAACCAAATTTAAGTAAGACTGCAAGATTCGATCCCCAATAGGCAGCCAAATATGTTCTAAGTGGCGCTAGCCTTATCATAAAAAACGTCTAAAAAATAAAACCCTTTATGATGCTATTGCGCGTTGAATGATTTTCTCGATAAGATTAGCATTAAACAAGTGATTCCCTGTAATTTAAGTGTCCCTTTAGTGTTAATTACAATGCTTTTTAAGTCACAGATTATAAAGCATACATTATCTAATCTATCCATAACTAATCCGAGTCCTGTCAATAACTATATAGAAAAACATGCCAAAGTGGCGTCGGATAACGTAAAATAGATTAGAATGTCCATTAAATAAGTAGCTATCAATTACCGTGGTTCATGCTGATAATTTTTAACACTACGATAAAGTATTCGGCAGTGCCAAACAAGCATTCAATATGTGCGCGTGTCGGCAAAAAAAATCGTTCCTCATCGAAGACATACTGCAGGATACAACGAAAAACAAAACACACAAGATCTCGAGCAATGAACCTAGTAAACCTATTGTCAACGCAATCAAAAGAACAGACACCGATGAAAAAGTGGGACATGAAAAATATGAGAATGATGTTATCAATGAAAAAATTACCAAATTCAACGTCATACGAGAAGTACAGTATGAAATGGAGTTGAACAAAATAAATCTGGAGCAAAGGAGGAATACTTACCCAATATATCCAACGCCGATGAAGGCTAATCTATCGTGGACGCGTTACAGAGCAAAGGACCCAGTATCGTACCCTGTGCAACCCCGGCATTCGTTCAGTTATTACAGCGATCCAATGCTAAATACAGATCAAATTTTGAGAAGTCAATTAGCGGCGAATAGATATGTAACACACCCATTCACAGTGCGACAAACTTATGGATTTGATAGAGGTGAGATATAGCATTTGAAATGAAAAAATATTTTCAAATTTTCAACCAACTTCACAAAGTAGGAGAGTTTCAATTCGGTTGTATTTTTTTTTATGTTTGTGACTACATAACTCTGTTAGTTACGAAGCGATTTGAATAATTCTTTTCTTTTATTTGAAAGGATTTACTAACAGATAGTTCCACAAAAACTTTATCACAATCGATACAGTAGTTTTGAAATCAAAATAACTAGTTTGACCACTGGCTTATACTGGCTGGTACCATATGAAACACAATCTTAAATTGTATATATATTATTATATAAAATAAAATATATAAAAAAAATCTAATTTTTTATCAAATTATTACTTTGATATACTTTAAAATTTCTAAAGAATTCTATTAAAAAAAAAGAGATTATTATTACAGGTAACACTATACAAATATACGGATTACGGAACCTGTTAATGTCCCCGTATCGCAGTTATCGAATACCATTAAACAAATAAAAAATACCAGATTAAATTTAGATTACTTACCGATCTGATAAGAGCGTAACTCAAACGGAACAATACATAGTTGATATTTTTAACGTACCTAATCAAAATCACGTGTATAGTAATAAATATCTTAAAGTTTCATTAAATAATTACTAAAAAATTATTTCTGGTTAGTTGATTACAATTATTTTGTTAAATTCTGCTAATATGCAGATTGAGGGCTGTTAGCCAGGGAGAATATAAAATGAAAGGTTTTAAAATTTCTACTAAAAATAATAGTAGTCAATCTTCGAGTGTTGGCAGTCGCACGTATTTTTTTTTAATAGATGATAATGGAATGGTAACCCCACCCGCGCTATCGGTATACACCGGCGGGGCACCAGTGAAGGATGATAGGTGAGTATGAAGCAAATCAGTTAGCTCATCGTGACGAATTCAACAAGAATTGTTCACGATGGTTTCCAGGGGGAACCACGTGGAGGTCGACCTGATAAAGCATATTGCTAGCAATGGGGCTATCAAACTCCATTGTTAACAATCCCTTTCCCCCCATTTGCACGTATTAGAAAGGCAATTAATATTTAATATATTATATATATTATATATATATTAATATATATATATATATATATATAAAATGATATGTGGGGTACTACGTAATACTAACTTACTGATAGTAGCGGAATTAAACAAAATAATTCTAATAAACCAGTGATATGGACTTACGTGAGATAACACCTAGTGCAATAAAAAAAAAATAACTTTTACCTACGAGTATATCCCATTGTCCATGGTCGTATTGTAACGTAAAATACAGACACGACCACTATGTCACGTCTATGTCACAGTGACCGTTTACTATCAGACAGAAACAATATAGCCTATAATAACCTTTTTCAAGAAATGAGATATCAAATTTATAGATAATTTTCAAGATCGACTGGTAATACCAAGGATTAGCGCATTCGTACATACTTTTCCACTTTATTATATTACTAGTGCGTATAGTTTTATATTGTCTGTGGTATAGTTATTTTATTATAAATTGCAGTAAATATTACATAATGTTATTGTCATTAGATGAACGAAATCACCGTTAACAAATTAAAATGATATATATTAATCATCATATCGTCATAGTCGTAGAATACTCACGAATCTATATATCGTCATAGTCGTAGAATACTGACGGATCTAACAAATATTACATATAAAGATCCGTCAGTATTCTACGACTGTGACGATATCAGTCGTTTATTGTCCCCTACAGAATATAGCCCCCTCCCCCCCCTTAGGAGGTCTAGCCAGTAGTTTCCACATTTAGCAGTGCGAGTTAAAAATCGCAATTACCGCAGAAATCCTCGACTATTAACTTCCCTTAGTCGCTTCTTACGACACGCACGGGAAAGGAAAGGGTGGACCATTCTATGCCGGGACCACACGGTCATATATTATTGAGAATGGCAAATGTAACCTTCACCACAATGGCTACAGGCAACAAAGAACACTGACTATTTTATACCTGGTTGCAGTCGTGAACATATATTAAATTTATTTTTTTATTATATTAGCTATTAACTGCCCAACACTACTAAACATAGCCCCCCATAAGGGGGATTTGCCAGTTGTTACCACGCTTAGCAAGAGGGTTTTACCCCTCGACTGTTAAGTTCCCTATTGCCTCTTAAAGTTGAAGAGTTGGCCTATTCTACTATTTATGTGTTATATATATATATATATATATATATATATATATATATACGCACGGCCAGAATGCCAACATATATATAGTCGAGGGGTAGAACCCGCCTGCTAAGCGTGGTAACGACTGGCAAATCCCCCCTTATGGGGGGGGGGGCTATGTTTAGTAGTGGGCAGTTAATAGCTAATATAATAAAAAAGAAATTAAATACATATATAGATTCGTGAGTATTCTACGACTATGACGATATGATGATTAATATATATCATTTTAATTTGTTAACGGTGATTTGAATGAATAATCTCGTAAAATTTTTACGGAACCACATCTCACCATGATAAGAAACAATTTGATAATAAATAAAAATATAATACATTACTATTAACAAAGATAACATACGTATACCACGACGTTTACGTATCAGTCCATTGACATTTTACATAATACAAATATTAAGTAAAGCTTATAAAATATAATGCATTTAAATAGATAAAATACCTAAGCGACTAATTATCAGTACAACATTATTATATTATAATTTTATAGTACTTAATAATGGCAAAACTTATTTTTATTCTGAAAACTGAAAGAAATTTATTTTTATTCACCAATTTCGTTAGGTTTCGAGATTTTAATGTCAATTTCTTACAGGGTTGGCAAAAATACAAATTTGTAAATGGTTTACAATTTACAATTTCTTCTTCTTATATATATATTAATAGTTATTTATTATATATATATATAATAAATAACTATTAAAGTTTGTTACAATGGATATATATATATATATATATATATATATATAAGTACAGAGTTCATAGGACCCCACCCTCACGAGACCTTATCATTATCAATAATATTTAATCGTCACGCTAAATGTAATCCTTAATAAAATATTGATAAATAATAACAATTCAACATACGTATCTATAATTATAATCGGTATAGTTGTTATAATAAAAATGCTACAAGTGTGAGTAGGACGCGATGCGATGGTTCTGTACATATTTTAATTATACATTTCACGCTTAAATTATATATAGATAGAGCATCGACCCTCAAAAATAGAACAACTTTTTGTCAGCTAATTGTCAAATTAGCTGACCCGTCTGTATCTGTGTTCTACGTAATAAATTAAACTTACTTTATACGTAATAAAGTAAAATAATAAAAAAAAATTAATATCAATATCGCTGACAAATTGCTTTAATCGAAGCACGTCCAAAATGAAATGACCGCATAAATGACATAACAACATACTTGTACTGTCAACACTGAAAAAAGTTTCAATTTGACAGCATAGTCCCCAATTTAAAAGAAGTTTAAATTTGATACAAAAATCCCCATTAGCAAAATGATCCGCCATTTATTGAATTCATTTGTTACAAAAAATGTAATAAATGAAGAACCGCTCAACCGATATTGTGCAAACTTCACATAAACCATCTACTAAATAGTCCGAATAAAGCCTAAACATTTGGTTTGGATAGATGAGTCCATTCTTGAGTTATAAAATTACAACGAAAAGTGGCATTAATTTTTATATATATAGATTAATGTACATACATATTTCTGTAGGTACTAAAATATTGTATATGGTGCATGGTACAAATCGTAATATCTAAGCGCCTAACATATCTAAGACATGTAAATCTGAATTAACTTACCTACTTTTTTTTTATGGATGAAAGTGGTATGGTGACCCCGCCTGCGCTAACGGGATACGCTGGCGGAGCACCAGTGAAGGGTGATAGATGAGAATGAAAACAGGCCAGTTAGCCCATCATGATGAATTCAACAAGAATTAACCATGATAGTTTCCAGGGAGAACCGCGAGGAGGTCGACCTGGTTGGGTATATTGCTAGCAATAGGATTCTCAGTCTCCATTAATAACAATCCCTTTCTGCCTCCCTCTTGGGGGGGTTTTCCAGTAGTTGCCACGTTTGGGAGGCCGATTGGCAACCCAAGTTAGGCTTTGGTTATGTTTTAAGAGGGACGCTGCTACTTATCCCTTGCCCATAGTCGCCTCTTACGACACCAATGGAAAAGGAAGGGATGGCCTATTCTATGCCAGGACCACATGGCAGAAAGATGATAAGTAAGGATGAAAGCAGGTCACGTGGTCCTTTGTGACGAATTTAACAATTAATCAATCATAATGATATTCAGGGGGAACCGCGTGGAGGTCGACCTGATAGGGTATATTGCTAGCAATAGGGTTGCTAATCCCTATTACTAACAATCCTTTCTTTAAAAAAAGGCAATGTTAAGTAAATTCTATTATGATTATTTGATAATAAATTTATTTTCATCCCCAGTTTTACCGTCATGCTGTAGTCCGTGGTGGGGCTTAGGAGGCAGACGGAAGGGTGGGCAGGTGCGGTTCAGTGCTTCCCAAACAGGCGCACTGGAGCGAAGGTTCAACGCCAGCAAGTATCTCAGCCCTGACGAGAGGAGGGCATTGGCAGCGTCGTTAAGACTGAGCGATCGTCAGGTAAAAAAACAATTCAGAAATAATAGGATTGAAACAATGATAATAATAATAAAAAAAAAACAATGCATACGGCACGGCATAACACCCTTATTCGTGAGAGGAACGAAGTCTTAATAATGAGAACTCGCGAATATTACTGACAATCTCCCCTGATAACCATCAACGTTTGGTCAACTGACCTGATTCATTCTTTAACTATCATCCCTCACTGATTGATACCTCACCAGCGTATACCGTTTGATCACGCAAAATTATATATAACTACACCAAGGTACATATGCTTCGTCTTACCACAAAAATAGTTGATTACCAGAGAGAGACTTTGTACAAAAGTCGATTGCAGAGGTACCCCTCTGTCTCATTCGTGTTTCAACCGTGAAGCAGTTGTGTTTGCATGGCTGTGTTTTGGTATGAAGGGTGGGATATGGCGTGAATTTACAGGGTACAAAGGATAACACCCGAGTCCTCAGGAATGGCAACACATGGGGGGTATTATGGGCGTAACAGTATACTCTGTTATGTCCATGGTACTGCTCATGTCTATAGGCGACGGTTACCACTTTCCATCGGGTGGGCCGTCAGCTTGTTTGCCATTCTAAGTTGTATAAAAAAAACGTTGAAAACATTGACTATTTGAACAGAGTTCAATAAACTCTGTCTAAGTAATTAAATACTGTTTATTCGATTGAATAAATTATCACCTATAAAAATAAACTATGGACAACACAACTTACAATGACGGGGAAATAATATTTACTTCGTTTTTGCACAGAATGTTTACAAATAAAACGATTTATGCGCACATTTAAGCGCCCCAAATTAATAAAATAAATTGTAATCCAAAATCTGCTATTTATAATTGAAAAATTCAATTCACTTTTTTGTTTGCAGGTTAAGACTTGGTTTCAAAACCGTCGCGCGAAGTGGCGCCGGACTGCACCGGACTCAGCGGATCCTGGCAGCCCGCCGACGGCTGATGATGAATCTGATGAAGAAATTCATATAGCTGACAACGAATGAACGTTTTTTCTCCATTAGTTTTATTATAAGTGACAAAATAATTCGATTAAACGGTATTAAAAAGGACAAAACTTTGAAACTTGGTTTTATTATCTTTAGGCCGTCATAAATATAACCCTTGTCATATATGACCAAATCTCAGGGTTCGTTTTAATGGATGATAATGGAATGGTAGCCTTGCCTGCGGCAACAGTATACGCTGACGGGGTACCAGTAAGGGATGATAGGTGAGAATGAAGAGGTAGTTCAGTCAGCCAATCGTGATAAATAGGGGGAAAGGGATTGTTAGTAATGGAGACTGAGAATCCCATTGCTAGCAATATACCCAACTAGGTCGACCTCCTCGTGGGTCCCCCTGGAAAACTATCATGGTTAATTCCTGATGAATTCATCATGATGGGCTAACTGGCCTGTTTTCATTTTCATCGATCACCCTTCACTGGTGCTCCGCCAGCGTATCCCGTTAGCGCAGGTGGGGATTGCCATTCCATTTTCACTCATCAAAAAAAATCGTGATAAATACATTTGGAATTCAACATGATGGTTTCCAGGGGAAACGACGTGGAGGTCGACCTGACAGGGTATATTACTAGCATTGAGAATGATAGTCGCCGCTAGACTGAAAACCCCACCAGCGCTAAAGGTATTCGCTGGCACCAGTGAGAAATGGTAGACGAGGATGAAAACAGGTCAGTCGGCTTACCGTGATAAATTCTAAAAGAATTAACCACAATGTTTACTAATGTGAACCGCGAGGAGGTCGACCTGATAGGGTATATTGCTGTCAATGGACTCCATCACTAATAATCCCTTTCCCATCCTAACGCTGTTTATTGGGGGGGAGAGATTGTTAGTAATGCGGACTACCAGTCCCATTGCTAGCAATATAACCATCATGTCGGGAATACGACACAACCGTCAGACGATGTTACGTCATAGGCAGTTACGGTAACACTGGTGCATGCCGCGAAAGAATTATGAGAGCGGGACGTATATAAGATATAGTAGGATAGATTATTTATAAATGGACGGCGTCAACATAATTCTTAATCTAAATTAGTAACTGCGATATCTATATAGGTCTTTAATAATAGTCAAGATAATTTTAAAAAATAATTTTATTAATAGAAAACAAGTGTTCAAGGGAAAACCTCAAAATCAAAACAAACTTCTAACACCATTACAAATTGGACGATAAAACGTAATATTTTTATTTACATATTATTTTTAGGCCCTTATCTTTAAATAACTAGGACAAAAATATGATTTGTTCAGGCCATTCAATTAATAATTGGCAAATTCGTTTATCGATTTTACGACAAGACAGTCGCATCAGAGATGAAAGTCCTGTCTGACTAGTAAACATTACAATAAACTTAGATCAATAATACATCCAGATAGTGCCTTCCTACAAATTTGCGAATTTGGGCAGACGAAATGTTTCGAATAAAACCGCCAATTTTTTTTTTTCTTAATTTTGTGTTTTTTTTTTCATAAATCGAATGCGTTCTACCACTATCTCTTTAGATGTTAGGTGACAATGGTCAAGATGTTACACGAAAAATCAAATACCGCCTATTCACTATTCCCTTGAAAAGATAGTAAGATAATTAAAAAAAAATCATTTACTTTGTATCTATAATGGTAATTTGTGACTTTCATCGCACAAACTGAGCCTTTACTAATTTATATTTACTATATTATCAATATTATACTTTCAAACTTTCGTATACCCTAACAAGTAAACAACGAAATAACGCGAGTCGACAGTTGATTGACCGTTTTTGTCACTATTCTCCATCTAGATGTATTTGATCCATATAATGTTTGGAAAATACCCAAACAACTGCACATATGCAGTGTATTTATTTATACACAACGTTAATGGTGTATAAAAAAATGTACACAAAGCACATCTTTGTTTAAATTTTCTCTCTTTCCACTACTTCAAATGGCAAACAAGCAGACGGCCTACCTGATGGCCTGATAACCGTCTCACACAGACATGAACAGCACCATGGATTGTTCAAAATACACTGTGACGCCCATTCATGCGTTGCCATTTCGAAAGACAATTTTTTTCAGAATACACTGTGACGCCCATGGTACCTTCATGCGTTGCCGTTTCCAAGGACTAGTTTTAAGCCTCCATACCCTGTAATTTCACTGCCATATCCCACCATGCAAATGGAAACGTAGCCATGCAAGCATAGCTACTTAGCGGCACAAAGACGAATTTATTCGAATGATGATTGATCATTCGACAATTCGATTTTTATTTTTTAATATATTAATTATAAGTGTCATTTGTGCTTCTATAGTGTAATGAACTATATTATAAAAAAAATCTAAAACATATATAATATTTATTATCTAAAATAGACATCAAATAACATTTTATTGGTAAAAAATCTATTTGTTGTAACATACTAAGTACAATATATTATATTTACAACTGGTTTACATTGAGTTACACAGTTTAAACTTTGTCTTTTAAATTTAACTGAATTCAACGGATTGGAAACATAAAAAATTGACACATTACAAAGTAATGACAGGACAAGAAATAGCTTTAAACGTCTCAATGTAAATAAAAATAAAAAAAAAAATGAAACAAACTTAATATATTTTAGCATTTACAAGATGATATGAAAATTTTTATTGATGGCTCGATTCCACCATTTTTATTTTGAGCAAGAGACAGGCATACAGACAGACAAATGCGACATCTATACAAATGTACGAGGTCTGTCCGGAAAGTTCGTATAAAAGTGTTCTGGAATGCGAGAAAGAGGAGTGGGGAGGCCAGGTAAGCGCAGGACCCCTTCCTTATGTCCCTAACAATGCTTCAGTTCTGGTCTGACCGCCGTGCGGTGCGAACTGGCTTGTCACGCCATCTGTACCTCTTAACGAAACCCCGTGCATGGAGCCCGCTTCCGTTGAAGAGCAGCGCGTCGTAATCAAGTTTCTCTCGAAACTCGGCAAGAATGGCCGTGAAATTTTTGCCGATCTCAGAACAGTTTATGGGGATGATGCTGTGAAGGAACCAACCGTCCACAAGTGGCTAAAAAGATTCAGAGAGGGCCGAGAAAGCGTTCAAGATGACCCACACGTCCTTCCAATTCCGACGAAAACGTGGAAAGAATTCGAACTTGTGTTAATACCGTCGTTTAACGGTCAGACAGTCGTGTGGCACGAGTTCGTCCAGAATTGGCGCGAGAGGGGCGTTGGATTCTTCACCACGACAATGCCCCTGCCCACACCTCTCTTGTTGTCCGTGAGTTTTTGAGTAAAAATTCCATTACGGTGACCGAACACCCCCCCTATTCGCCGGATTTGGCCCCGTGTGACTTCTTCTTGTTCCCAAAAACCAAATTGGTACTTCGGGGGCGGCATTTGGGGGACATAAATGAGATAAAAAAAGCTACGACGGGGCAGCTGAGAAACCTACAACCAGAGGACTTTATCACAGTGGAAACGGCGTTGGCACAAGTGCATTATGTCACAGGGGGAGTACTTTGAAGGGGATAAAATTGATTTACCTGAATAATTGTAAAATAAAATTTTTAAAAAACTTTTATACGTACTTTCCGGACAAACCTCGTATGTCTCGAAATGGTTAGGTTAATTATTAATGCAATCAACATATCAGCCGTTAACTGTCCACTGCTGAACATAGCCCCCCCCCCCCCCCCATAAAGGAGATATTAATTAATATAATGCCCACAATTAAATAAAATTATAAATATTAAAGTAATAACACCCAAAAATAAATAAAATACAAAATATTTATGTAACTTTCGAAATAAAATATCACTTACACAAAAAATAGTTAGATTCATACAAACAAACATATTCATGGCTATTTTTGTATAGTGCGTGACTCCATCGCGCAACTATCGAAAGCTGAGTCAGTGTAGAACGACAAACAGTGATAAAAAAAAAAGAAATTATTCTTTTTTTAAACTTGTGCGCCATACGCCCTTTTGAGAAGACTTCTGTATGAAGTAGGAGTGGGTAATTAATATATAGCAATATCTATATATTTCAGTTGCAATATCTATAATTAGCTCCAATAACGAATATGTTAAAAGTTTTTTTTATCTAAAAAATAATATTTCTGTTTTGCCAAAGGTTGAGTGGGAGAGAATGCTATATAGTATTAAGTCCGTCTTTTGTACAAGACTTTTTTTTGTAATGTGGTCAAAAAATAAATAAATAAATATTGGACGACTGACTTTTAACATATTTGAAAATAGATATCCGACCGATATGAGCGATATCGAAATGGGTGATGACCTTCATTCCCCATCAATGTCCAGAGGAACTCAATATATAGATATCGAATCGGTATTCATATTACCCATGCCTAGTATGGAGTCGAAACAAATGTCCCAAACTACAAATATAGTATGTTCATAAAATTCCCATTATACACATGTACAGACATCATTCAGAAATTATATTTAAAAAAATCTCATATTCTTGCGAAAAATCTCAATTCCTACTTTTCATAATATTATAGTAAAATGGTAACTGCACGATGTCTGTACATGGGAAATATTTTCAAAAATACATGTAAGGAGTTTTAATGGAAGCAATAGAAACCAAAACAATTATTAATAGAAATTTCGTCTGTCTGTCTGTATGTTTGTTCATCGCACAAAAAATACTGCACTAAATTTAATGTGGTTTTCTCCGTTACGTTTTTGAAGGTCTAACTTAAAAACTGGAGTATGTATTACGCCATCTAGAAGTGATTATTTCATTGGTTTTCCTACGTACAAAGTAGCTGATAAGTAAATTTGTTCTAGAATGAACCGAGAGCTAGATTATACGTCTACGTTTTATATCACTGAACTCAGAAGAAAAAATAGTAATTCTAAGTACAGTAATGTGTCAATTATACCATTTCTTCGGAATGGCAGTGAATATATTAAATTAGGCTCAGATTCAAGACGCCTTTGCTCATTTAATCAACACAAATAGAAAATGTAACAAATTATTTTATAATCATTATAAAAACACTTCCCTACTATTCCATAATTTGATAAAATTAGACTAAAAACAATGGCGTAAATATACCATTTGAATAAATTCAGTTTTGAGACCAATTCCGGACCCTTAATCATAGGCGGCTGTGATACGAGTACTAATATATGCAATAAATGATAGATTCTTTGTATGCTCATGGCTACTTGAACCAGAGGCCCTCTTGGGCTGGAAGCCCAAGGCACCCTACAGTTATGCTACTAAATAACAATTATATGACTGTGCAACATATAAATATATATATTTGCAAATATAATTTAAAAAAATTATGGTACAGTAAATATTTTTTTTAAAATAACTACTAATTTAAAATTCCACTAAGTGCAAGCAGTTAATACCATTAACAAAATATGTTTTTCAAATATCAAAATCATTGATATACAGTAAAAAATTTATTGTCAATTGTAATTAGATTGTCATGCAATTATACAATTAATTTAACAAAAATAAATATTAATTACAAATTTCAATCATTTTTCCATTCATGTCAGATGAAAAGAGCAAGGCATCTTTAAGAAAGTAAATAGAATTTAAAAACATACAATTAAACTTAATGATGGTCTATTCTGCTTTCCTCAATGCACCTCTGGCACGCCATGCCTTAAGCAAGTTGTAGGAAAAGTATAGTTGGAAGAAGTGAATCTGGGATCCAAGGAGCACGAATGCGTACCACAACAATCCATATGGGTAGCCCTGAAAACAATAGAAAACAGACTGATTAACATAGTTTTTACAAACTACAATATTAATAAAAGTATCTGATCGTCAATGGTTACCATACTGTATAGCTCATATTACACAGGACATCCTGACTTATCATAATCGGCCATTATCTTTCCACTGTTGAACAAAGACCTCCTTCATAGACTACCATAACGAGAATATTCCTTATGACAATTTACCATTAAAGGGATTTTGCCAGTAATTGTTACACTTGGCAGGCGGATTGGCAACCGCTGCTTGGCTTATGGGATATTTTAAGAGATCTCTTATGACACCCACAGAAGAACACAGAAAGAAGTAATAAGTTATAACTATGGGAGCAAGAAATTATTAGTACTGAGATTCAACAGCCCCATTTTTAGCAAGTCAAGGACAATATAATATTGATTGTAAGATCATATGTACATATTGCTTTTTGAATAATAATGACTAAAGCAAACAGTCCAACCCATAAACTGTTTTGGCCAAATTTATCATCTTCCTTCCAATCATTCATCACTAGACCATACCAGAATAAAGCAATAGTATAGAAGGGGTTGCCTTTCCATTATCATCTATAAGAAATAAATATGTTCCACAAAAGAAATTACTTCAATTATAACAAAACCAATTATTTTAATTTAAAAAATACTAAATCGATTTTGATAAAATGTCTATGGCACTAATCTGTAAGTATATCTTTTCAGATAAAAAAATGCTTTTTCAAATTGGATTACACCTGACAAAGTTATAGGATAACAAACACAAAAAATACAAACAAATTGAGAACCTCTTTCTTTTTGAAGTAAGTTGAAAAGTGTTTCTGTTATAAAGCATGCCCACATTTTAATTTGAAGGTTCATATATACACCTTTCAAATCAAAAATAATTAGATAAATAAAACCATCAGGTGAGCCGCATGCTTGTTTGTGTAAAAAACAAAAAAAAAATACATATGTAATAACACAAATGTCATAGTGTAATCTGTGATCTCCATCCATATGTGTTATAAAATCTATATAACACTTTTCATCAGGTAAACTGTCAGCATGTTTGCCATTCTCATTAAAAAAAACTTTACCCACCTGCCATAACTCTATCTCCACTTCGGAGCTGTCATCTTCATCATCATCTCTGGACAAATATCTCCATACATCACCACAGTAGTACAGAACACAATATAACAATGGTCCAAATCCAAGAATACAGATTCCATACATGTAGTGTCTTAATTGTTTTATGTTGTTTCGTTTTATAGCAGACAGACCAAGGAATGAGAGGACAAGTGACAAGCACCATATGTACTCCCACCATACAGGCTGGAAAATAAAATTGTTATAGTTAAAATAAGATTGTGTCCCACAAAAAACTAACTTCAATTGTGGCAAAAATTAGTTATTTTGATTTAAAAACTAAACTGCTGAACCAATTTCAACAAAGTTTCTATGCATCCAATCTGTAAGTATATCCTTTCGGAAAAAAAAAAGAATTTTTCAAATCAGTTTACAACTGATGAAGTTATGAGGTAACAACAAAATAGAATATCCAAATTTAATTAAATTAAATTCTTATAAATTACAGCCTGATTAAAATTAATACATAATTAAATTAACTATGAACTTATTTACTTGCATAATCTATAATATATATATAAAATTTTCCAAATCAGTTTACAATCAACAAAGTTATGAGGTAACAAACAAAATAATATATCCAAATTTAATTAATTTAAATTCTTATAACATACAGCACATACATGATTAAAATGAATACATAGTCAAATTAATTATGAACTATATGACATATATATATATATATATATATATATGTGCAATGTAATGTAAAATTGTTTTTTACATCCTGATACCTTAAAATTTAGTATCCAACTATTATTTGGGATGGAGAAGGGCATACTTTATCTTAGTTAATCAACAAACACTACTCATGTAGCCAAAGTCATAGGTAAAAACTAATGTGTAATATTTTTACTATAATGAATTGATAATTTTTAAATTAGTTTAAATTATTTCTTTATAAAAACAAACTTTAAAAAGAACAAACAATATAAGTTCAGATATAAAAACCTTCTCCATTTTCATGCAAGTTGAAAATAAAAATAATATGCACTATATTGTGGTGTATCTTTTTGAAAAGGTATTTCTATACATTTTATATATTTAGATATAATTTATTACCTGTGGTATTTGTAATTCCTCAATTTCTAATATAAATATATCCAGTTTATCCAATATATCGGCAGATAACTTGGCCAGCATCACAAGGAACAACATATGATGGAAGAATACACAGTATTTCAGTCGGGATTTGTTCAAAGCACTGGAAAATATTTTTTTATAAAATATTAGGATTTGGTAAATAAACATTCAAATAAGTGAGCGATTCGTTTCACAGCTTAAATCAAAGGGGCGAAATATTTTCACCATGGATTGCTATTGTCTAAAAATAATTTGACGGAACTAGTAAAATAAAAGTAGTTTAACACATTGCCACAAGACCAATTATTTTAGTTATTATTAACGTGACAAGATACAAATATAATTAATGGGAAATTCACCTTAACTGATATTGTGCAGCTATTTTCTCCCTGTGCTCAAAATCAGCCCCGTTGGTCCCCGTCACCATAATACCACCGCGCGAAGCCATTTTATAACTTAATTCTTTAGCCAAATAACAGAAAATATTCTTCTCAACCTCAACAAATCACACTAAGACCATCATTCAGAAAATTCGTGTTTAAATTTATAAATTATATTATTATTTCATTTTCAATCCATCTGCCAAAACGTAAGAACGAAATGCCAAATATGCCAACGTTTCAAGGCCACTGTGTATTCGTTCCAATATACGTTATATTTGGTCTAGATTCTTAAATACAATTAAAAATTTAGATGCACGAAATATATAAACTAGCACATTATTTAATTTTGGTCTTAATATGGATATTATATTACTAACTACGAATAATAGTTAAAGTATTTTTTACTTTCTAGGTTGGTAAGCACATCAATATCATTCTATTCTATATCAACTTTACCATCTTGGTATAGAACGGAACGCTTGATTTTTGACATTCCAATTCACGTCCGGAAATACGTTGTTTGAAAACCTTAAAGTGATCTAATTGTAGTTTTAACTGATTTATCCTATGATATCATTATTATAAAAGTGGTAAAGACCTTGTGTAACAATGTTAGTGCGGGTTCTATACTAGTTATTAGGATTTATAAAATACATAAATGTTTTGTTAATTAGACATTAACAAATTAACATTAAGAATATTTTGTTTTATCATCATAGAAAAATTATAATATTAAGTACTTAACACGATTACTTCTTAATTATTAGAAAGACTAAATCAAAGAAAGGTCAGTCAGATGCACTTTGATAAACAATGCTACTAGATGTCAAATAGTAATATTACTATTATGAGAGTGTCGCCCTCTGGTGTCAAGAATTTCTGAGCCATTATATACGAATTCTAATCTTAATATTCATTATACACGAAGACGTCCGACATGACTTACCGGACGATGGCTTTACGTGTCCTCTGAAATATAAAGCATGTGACAATTTTGTTTTAATGATCATAACAAAATAAAAAAAAAAATGGGGTCAGTTCTGATGCAATATTTCTCTAAATTTATCTTTTAAATAACAATTTATTTTATAGTATGCGAAATTACCATCATAATATTTATAATAATTTTCACTTCAATCTATTATAATTTTTGTCCATTCATCTTTAGAATAAACATTTCGCTGTGATATAAAATTTTAATTTTAGAGATAGATTTAGAATAATGGCGCTTCAGAATTGACTCCATTATTATTATTTTTAGTAGGATTCCATCTTGGGACATTTGGACCGCAATCAACTATATTCCAACTAAACTGGTATCGTCCACTACTTATATAGGACCTAATACGCGCATCTAGGGTGAAAGGAATTGTTAGTAACGAGTTCTAATAACTCCATTGCTAGCAATATACCCTAACAGATCGACCTCCACGTGATTTCCCCTGAAAACCATCGTGGTTATTTTTTGATAAATTATTCACGATGGGCCAACTGACCTGCTTCATACTTACCTATCATTCTTTACTGGCCCCGTCAGCGTATACCGATAGCGCAGGCGGGGTTACCATTCCATTATCATCTATAAAAAATTACGTATATAGAGGGGGAAGGGGAGTAATTGTTAGTAATGCGGACTACCTATTGCTAGCAATATGCCTCGTCAAGTCTATAATTGTCTGTAATAACTGATATTAAAGATATTATAAAAACTGTTTTCTTATACCCACAGAGGATCAGGCATGACATTAGAATTCCATAGCACGTCATGCATTTTACAGCGAAAGTAATCAAATATAAGCACACTGCCTAGTAGGTACTAATTAGAGCTGGAAACATTTTATAGCAGTAGCTGATTTATTTACTTACTATTTATAGGTAGGTATTTACCGTGTGGCCCCGGCAGAGAAGGGGCCAATGGATCACCCTTTTCTTTCTAGTGGGTGTCGTAAGAAGCGACAAAAGAAACTTATCAAAGGATGGGTAGCAGCCTCCAACTTAAATCATCACCAAAGGCTAACTACGGTTGCCAACCAGCCAAAGATGGCAAGATGCTGTTGGGATTGGTGCCATTCTATAATGCATCTGGGATGTTTGTAGAAGCTCCAGTAGATTGCTTTTATGCCACAATGTGTATAAAATGCGCATCATTGGTGCGTAGGATGCGGGGCAGCACCAAAGGCATCCTGAATATGATTGCAAGCAGGCTGGACTGCACTTACATTGTTCACTGTTGTGGGATCTCAAACGGAGTGCCATAGCAGTGACCAAATGTATCAAAATGTGTTTTTATTTTTGTAAGATAGGTATACTAACATTAAGCCAAGATTATGCCATTTACAAATTAGGCCATTGCAGGCTTTAATAAAGATATTATTATTATCAATGCTCTGAAAACGACTATGCTCGTAGGTAATTTCATTGAGTTACAGAAGTAACAGAATCTGTAATAAAGAAATACCAAAGTAATAAATATATAACCATATTACTCAAAGTATCAATTTCAATCGAAGGAGAAGAAAAGTTTTTGTTTTCAAATTGTCAACGCAGTATAAGACGACCTAAAGTTCGTCTTATACTGCAATATGCTAGACAGAATGATGACCGATAATAACCAACGATATGTTGCAGGGAGTTAATGGATGGCTATAGCTCAAGAACCTTTTGGCAGTCTATAGGAGAGGATTTTGTTTTGTCTTAAAAATATGGACCAATCTTAAGATTCTACAATGGTCTGTAAATAACTGAAATGACGATAAAAAAAAAATAAATGATTACAGTTGGATAGGGAAAAAAAACAAATAATGTTCATGTCCTACATGAATAAATGATTTTTGAATTTGAATTTGAATTTGAATTTAAATGATCACAATAAACAAATAATGTTCAGCAGTCCACAAGATGCTATGACGTCACTTCCTACAATTCATAAATCAGAAACAGGCGATAAGATTTTAATTGTTCAGTCATGTTTTATAAACATGGCTCGTTACTCAACGAAAAACAATAGTTATTTTAGTAACTTCGCGGGCACCGCGGTTATAAATTAAACCGCGTGGGTGCCGGAGTTTACTGTGAGTTACCCAGCGTCCGCCGTGATGAAAGTTATTGTGATTGTTGGTCTGATTGCCTTCGTGGCTTTGCAGGTATTGCTTCCAGAAATGTACCACCTTTTTATGATGCTTAGAATGGCAAACAAGCCAAGGGCCTACCTCATGAGAAGTGGTAACCGTCTCCTATCGACATGAACAGCACCATGGACATAAAGGAATACGGGGATTATGGTGTTATGTCTCTCTACGCTGTAATTTCACTGCCATATCCCACCTTTCAAATCACACAGTCACGCAAGCATAGATACTTCACAGTAGAAACACAGATAAGATAAAAGTACCCATGTAGACGATGCAGGTGTCTGTACAAATGTTTTTGGAAATCTCTACCTGATATTTAAAATTCTTGTAAATACGGATTGGATTAGTTTGCTCCTGAACAAGTGCGAAGATGTACAGTTAGCAGTAAAAGTCAATAAATATACTCAGATTTCCAATACTCGAAATCCTTACTAGTTTTTAAAATGTATGTAGACTATTTTCATGTTCCATATAGTTCACCCATGCTGCGCCAGTCCCCGACGAAGAAAATAAAGAAGAGGCGGTCCAGTCATCGCTTGCTCCAGTTGAAGTGTCTTCATCTACGTTAGCTGGAGAGGTATCTATGATTATTTTGTTGGTATTACTCATGGTAAAAAACCACCTCCAAGATTCTCAATACTTAGGACAGTCTAAACAGAATTAGATCGAAAAATAATGACCACGATATACATTACTATTAAATAATGGTTTAAACGCTATGAATATCCAATGTCTGTCCACGACTAATCCAAAAATGTGCCTTGACTTTAAGACTTAGCGCAAATAGATTTAATATAAGGTCGCGAAGTATTTTTCGATCCATTAATAAGTAGACACTTTATTGTCAATCTTCACGCCAAATCCATTACAAACTAGACAGAGAGTATTGAGCGTTTCTAACTCTACAAATAAGTTTTGCTCATGTACACACGGATTTCGGGGATTTTTGACCCATCTCGCAGAGAGCATATGGCCTGATCATTAAAGATTAATCTAGCATCCCTCTAATTTCTTCTTTATTATTTCAGGTAAAAGAATCTTCCAGTGATGACATCGTGACCGTGGTTAGTACGGGTGCACCGGCTACGCCAGAAGAAAAGACAGCCTAGCTTACAAATAATGTGATGTAAATCAAAAATAGGACTTTTAATTGTGTAACAATAAAAATAGGAGAAATAATTGTAGGTACTAGGCAAGTCGACGTTATTATTTGTAAAATAAAGTATAAGAAAAGTAATCGAATAGTTATTGTGTAGCTATGTTATTCTTCGTGTAGTGATGGTGCTGGGACGGAAAATGCAACGTGTCACCACTCTGTTGTATTCGATTTTGAGAAATTTCGTCTAAGAGAAAACTAGTTTGACTAGTGCAAAAGATGGAAAAATCGAAAATCAAGGTACGATTTACACCGTTTGCCAAGTATGACAGTTAATGTTATGATAATCCACAATATGTGAACACAGTAAATTTTGAATAACGCAACAGAAATATTAATCCTACCTGCTGTGAGGGGAAAAAGGGATTGTTGGTAATGAGGATTATCAATCCCATTACTAGTAATACCCAATCAGGTCAACCTCCTTGCGGTTCCCCCTGGAAATCATTGTACTGAATTCCAGATGTATTCACACAATGGGTTAAATAACCTGCCTTTTCATCCGCACCTATCACCCCTCACTGCCAGTGTGTACCGTTAACGCAGGCAGGGTTACCGTTCCATTATCATCCATTACAAAAACTACCTAATGTGAGAGAAGTGATTGTTAGTTATAGGGTCTAACAGTCCCTTTGCTAGTAATATATCCCGTCAGGTCGACCTCCATACGGTTTTCTGTGGAAACCATCGTGGTTAATTCTTAGTAAATTCGTCACAATGTGATGGGACAACTCATCTGTTTTTATCTTCACCTCACTGGTGCCCCGCGAGTGTATACCAATAGCGCAGGTAGATTTACCATTTCATTATCATCCATTAAACCTTATTCCATAAAAAAATCAAAGAAAACACAACTCTAACTTCGACCAGTTTACTTATCAATTTGAAAGTTATTGTGCAGTAAAGAACAGTATATCTCTGACGCTGGCTCTTGAAGGCAGATCTAGTGGTGTGATCGCTACTGCACCTGCGCTGCCAACGCGATATCGTGAGGTGCACTCCGAGCCCTGTATATACAATGTCACCTAGAAAGAGCAGAATGTTTATATTGTATCCAATTTTTCCTAGTTTAATTGGATGGTAAGTTATTCGCCAACGGATTTAAGGATTACCAAGTTAAAAACACTAAGTTGGAAAGCACTCAGTATTAAATAAAAGGAAGCAACGATGCCTACATGAATGTTTTAGTTTGAAGGGCGAGGTATATCTCCACCCTTCAAACTAAAGCAGTGAAATTACAAGATCCATTTAAGTAGCCTTGTTAATTTACTATATGATAGTACTTATTAATAGTAGACCTACGGAATCGAAACACAATTCTACACGGTTGCCCGTATGCTCCAAGCTTACGTATGCTAAAAACTTCAAGTCATTCAGCGAGCTACAGAGAGGGCTATGTTCGAAGTTTTTTTTTAATGGGTGATAATGGTATAGTAACCCCGCCTGCGCTGTGGGTATACGCTGGCGCGGCACCAGTGAGAGATGATAGATGAGGATGAAAGCAGGTCATTTAATCCATCGCGATAAATTCAACTAGAATTAACTACGGCTTCCAGGGGGAATCACGTAGAGGTCGACCTGACAGGGTATATTGCTCATAATGGGGATATTTGACCCCATTACTAAAAATCCCTTTCCCCCCTATGTTCGGAGTTTCTTTGCATGATCATGAATCCGAAATGAGAATATCCGCAGATAACACTAGTCAAATAGCTCAAAAAACCGACAACCGATGGGAAAGGAAGTTTCTTAAGTGGAGACTCCGTACGGGAAACGCAGTGTAGGATGACATTCCCCCCCCCCCCCCACTAGAAGGAGTGACAATCTCAAATGCATTGCAGTCAGTCAGTGGATGCAGATGGCTCAGAACCATGCCTTATGACAATCTATAGAGAAGGCATATGTCCAGCAGTGAATAATAACGGCTAATATGATGATGGCAAGGCATGGATTATGGTGCATGAGGGGTATCATCTCCCGAGTTAGCTTGTTTGACATTCTAAGTATCAAAACTATAGTAAACATGTACAAGTAATGTATGATTGAATCTGACCTGTGGCAGAGGACTATGTCGACTCGGTTCGTTTGACAGCGGTACCGATCTCGCTTCCTTGCGCCTGCGCTTGCAGTTGGAGCGCCTGCTTTCATGTCGTTTGCGTCCAGCACACGATTCTATAGCAAAACTGTTGACTACATACATAGAGCATTGAGCATAGAACCTTCTGGAACCTAAAGGTTAAAACTACCTACCGAAATATCTCAATGAAATTACACGCATCTGTAATTTTTTTTGGGATGTAGAGACAATTTGAAACAAAGTAACGTATGGACACTAGTAACACCAAAGGAGTCGATGTGTTGCCACTATAAAATAATTGTTTTGCGCATCTACCTACTAAAAAGAATAATATTACTTTGACTCAAGAATACAGTTACGTCTATTTATAGCAGAAGGTAAACAAATTTAATGACCTCTGCAGCGCAGTAGTGCATATGTCGCTTTGTGTTAATGAGGAATAAAAGAACTTTTTAAATTGGCTTGGATCTGTATGTTATGCTTACAGATATCTGGTTTCTAATAATATAGGATATCCTAGCTTTGAGGCCCAGGTTATTAATGTGATTGTTGGCACTCATGTCCGTAGCCAGGGGAGGGGGAAGGCATTGAGGGGCAATGCCCTACCTTAAAATGAAAGGCGCCAAGCAAAATATGGCTTCTGCCCTACCAAAATGTTCCTTTGCCCTACACTAAACTTGGGTCTAGCTACGGCCTTGCACTGAATATGATTTCGGAAGGAACCTTCCCAAAATGTCCCCGCTCTGTATTTTCTCCTAATTATTACCTACCAATAACAGTCGGTACAAGTCTACAAAAATCTTTGCATGGTCATCTGTGTTCCATTAATTTGTTCTGGCACCAAACAGCTTGCTTCTATTGCATAGTTTTGTTTAGGTATACATTACTAAATACTGTGTTAAAGATTTTCAGGTCATAATGGCCTGTTAGTCAGACGCGCAGTATTTTTTGTGTCGACTAATCTAGTATGGAACCTCAATAGACCTTCAATTTCCTCCTGGGGTAAAGGCGGTGGCAATGGCGGAGGGCGCAGTGGAACTCGAGGGATCCTCGACCGTCGTCCCTCTATCAATCTTACCAGACATTCTAGCGCTGCTTGTTTATTCTGTTAGAAAAATCAATGATAAGCATAGGTATATTTAAGGGAAAGGCCAAGCAACCTTTCAACTAAAAATAAAGATATGTTTAAGAGTACATATGTGCTTTATTAAAGGGTCAACCCCTCGAACCCCGCTTCCCTCACTTGGAAACAATCATTAATATGTTACTTGTACTTGTATATTTGACGAGATCTTAGGGCTCAGCTAAATCATGATGATAGAATGAAGAAAGACGTAGGCTACTTCTCAGCCTTGTTAATCGTTATATCTAATCGCAAGGACAAACTTAAACATTTTAAGTATAAAGAACATACCCTGATTTCATCCAACAGCGGCTCAAACGCCATCGGATCAGAAGAATCTTTGAGCGCTTCCCAGCTCTTGAACAGTTTGCGGTCAGACATGCGTACAGTGTTCTCTAGTTCGCGGATCTCTGATGGTTAAGTTGATAATGATTATTTATTGAGAAAATCGACGGATTTTCCTCTACACAATAAGAGTCTGGAGTTGTTACAACTTATGTGACAGTAGAAGGTCAGACATCTCTCACATGGAGGTCGACATGACAATGCATGTTACTAAAAACGGGAGCGGTAGTCCACATTATTAGCAATCCTTTCCTTATGTATGGGTATTATTTAATCTTTGAAACTGGACTTGTATAAGCACACGTAGTGTAATCCCCGTTTAAATAGGTGAAGTGATAATTTGAAATGTGATATTAAGAAACCATCGATTTTTTTTATACAACTTAGAATGGCAAACAAGCTGACGGCCCACCTGGTGGAAAGTGGTAACCGTCACCTATAAACATGAGCAGTACCATGGACATAACAGAGTATACTGTTTCGCCCATGATACTCCCTATGCGTTACCATTCCTGAGAACTCAGGTATTATTCCTCCGTACCCAGAAAATTCACGCCATATCCCACCCTCCAAACCGAAACACAGCCATGCAAACATGCTTTACGGTTGAAACACGATTGGGATAGAGGTACCCAAGCAATCGACTTTTGTACAAAGTCTCCTTCTGGTGCACATTCCTGTAAAGGGATTTTGAAAAGATCTATATCCGACAAAGGATAGCTAGCCAATGAATTGTTGTAGCCGACCATAATGTCTTCAAACCAACCTGTCTCCCTTAAAGCAACCAAATGTGTTGTGAGCTCTTTCCTCTGCACGTGCAATGCACGCCGTTGCGTGCGCGTTCTAGTTACGACGTCGCGTGCGTTGCGCGCTTCTGCCGCTAGCGCTGCCACCTCCCGCGCTTCTTGTTCTAATCGACGCTCTAACTCGCTGATTTGCATAGACAATTCATACAATTTTACAATTTATTGTACATTAATAATAAATATATATATTATTGTCGGACAAACAAGATGTCTTACAATAATACGATAGAAAAATCACTTATAAAGACCTAACGCGAGTATGCAGGGGAGAAAGGGATTGTTAGTAATGGAAACTAAGAATCCCATTGCTAGCAATGTACCCAACCAGGTCAACCTCCTCGCGGTTCCCCCTGGAAACTATCATGATTAATTCCATATGAATTCATCATGATGGGCTAACTGGCCTGTTTTCATCCTCATCGATCACTGGTGCTCCGCCAGCGTATCCCGTTAGCGCAGACGGGGTTACCATACCATTTTCATCCAATAAAAAAAAAAGGCGAGTATGCAATGCAACATTATACATAACCAATTTATTGTTAGTAATGGCACAGATGATTGCCATTCTTCATTCCTTGTTTGCCATTCTAAGTTTTATAAAAAAAATACCAAATCAGTTCACAACTGACGGAGTTATGAGGTAACAAACAAAAGAAAAATACAACCCAATTGAGCATCTCCATCTTTTTGAAATCGGTTTAAAACAAATAGCAATATTTTACTGAATTAGCTGTTATTTTGTGAAAGTTTATATCACTGATTATTTAATTAGAATTAACGAATAACAACCTCGGATATTCGCCTGTGATCTTGGCGTAAGACTGTATATTTCTTATCACCTCCACGAGGTGATGTAGCTGATTGCAAAACTCTGGCAACTGCTCCGGAGTTAAATACTGCCCGCTGTACCTTTAGAAGAATGTTAAGATGTATTGAATGTTTAAGGGATTCGAGCTCAGACGCAACAGAGTTACTTTAGAAATATTTTTTATTTAAGCAAAGTACTATAGTTGGGGGAAAAATTAGATATTACTGTAGTGTTAATGTAACCTTAAATTAATATTAGGATATTAGATATTGATGATGATGATGACAGCCATTAACTGTTCACTGCAAAACATAGGTCTCCCTCATGCAGGGTATTGCAAATAGTTGCCACGCTTGGCAGGTGAATTGGCAACTGTAGTTAGGCTTTGGTGATGTTTTAAGAGGGACGCTGCTGTCCTCTCGACTATTTAATTCCCTTTATCACTTCTTAAGACAGCCACGGGAAAGGAAGGAGTAGCCCATTCTATTATGCCGGGACCACAAGGCGAATATTAGGTACTGTATTGTTAATGTAACCTTAAATCAATATTAGCAGTGAATTGGTCATTTTCAATAGGTCCGTTGGACGCGCACGTAGTCCCCGCTTCCATCATTTCATCCACATTTATTGTGCTACCACATCCGGTGCTTTCACTAATTCTGTGGGCAAAATTATCATACGAGTACTTGACTAGTCCATAAATATAAATTTACCTGAGTTCGTTTTCGTAAAATCATCCGTCAGTAGTATCCCGCTAGAGTAAACAATTCAGACAGGGTTACCATTCTATTTAGTTTGTATCAATAGAATTTATTGAAAAGGTAACTAAATTTTATTTTTTAAATTAGTAACAATTCGAAAATCCAGTCAATTAATCGATTTTTTATTTGCACTGATATTGAATATGAGCAGATACCGTCTTATGTCCGTATTATCGAATCAATTAAGTAATCGTTTATTTAATTCTCTATTATTTTGTCACAGACTAACAATCATAATAAGATAATCATAATTTCAGTAATAAGAATTCCGTTCGACAAGGCAACAGCTGTGTTTCTTAGTTCCGTATTATTTGAGTTTTTAATCAGTGTTTTTTAGCATTTTCCTTTCGTAAGTTATATGTATCGATAAGCTTTAAAAAATATTACAATAGTATAATTAACAAACTTAAATTAATGTTGATATTTAGAAGTAATTGTAAAATAAATTTCAAAAAGTGAAAGTTAACGACTATTTAAATTTTTGTTCCTGACCTACGACAACCCGCAGCCGGCTCGCATCTATGAGTCATCGTTGTACATCGTTGCTCAGACTTCTCGACGACTCAAGCTGAGTACCCTTATTATTTGAATTATAACCGAGATATATTGCATTAAGAACGCAGTTTAAATATATCGATTTATATCACCAACTATGATCTGTCTCGCTTGTAACAATCAAGCATGTAGTGACGACTATCTAAGATGCTATGCCTGCAAGAGTATTTATCACTATAAATGCCTGAATATGCAAACTAAGTTCTATAAAGATAATCTTTTTGAATTAAAGCGATCATGGAAATGTCATAATTGTGCACAAATCACGCGTCGGAGAAATGATAGTACCCCAGTCCGTCAACAATTTGATCTAACGAAAACCAATATAACTGATATGTCATGCGATGATTTACCGCACAATACATCCATGGTGTCTGGTGATGTAGATATATCGCTTCAGAGTAAAGATCAACCCCAGAGTTTAACTTCCACATCGGGTACTATAACATACGAGCAATTTAGTAACCTACTAGACATTAAATTGAATTCCATGAGATCTGCCTTAAAAGAGGATATTCACTCAGCTGTTTTAAAACTAAAATTGGAACTTACTGAAACTACGGATTTTTTAACTAAACAACAAAGCGATTTAAAGGACCAAATTAGTGGGGCTGAAAATAGAATTGTTGGTTTGGAGGCTGAAAAAACTAAAGTAGAATCTTGTCTGACTAGCTTAAATAATCGTATAGTATCATTGGAAAGATCATCAAGAAGCCGCAATCTGGAAATACATTTGGTACCTGAAAGAAGGAATGAAAACCTGTTAAGTTTATTTAAGAAGTTATGCGACATTATTAAAATATCTATTAGTGATTCTGAAGTGCATTCTATCAGAAGAATTGCTAAGTTGAATCCTTCAAACAATCGCCCTAGAAATATATTGGTAACGCTCCCATCCGAACGCCACCGTGACTGTATTCTGTCTGCTTTTAAGAGGTTCAATAAGGAAAACAAATCCGCTACACTTAATTCGTCTCACCTTGATTTTACCGGTGACAAATCTGTCATTTATGTGTGTGAACATTTGTCTCCTGAGACAAAAGAACTTCATGCTGCAACGAGAAAAGCTGCCAAGGAACGGGATTATAAATACGTGTGGATAAAGTACGGTCGAATTTATACCAGAAAGAACGACACATCTCCTGCGATATACATAAAGGACACCTTATCCCTAAATAAGTTAATATAGTGTAGTTTTATATTTGTGTACTTCTATTACTATAAACAGATGGAAATATACTATCAAAATGTTAACCGTTTGAGATCTAAAACTAGTGATATTTACTTAAATGTTTTAAATTGTGGTTATGATTTTATATGTTTTACAGAAACTAATTTAAATTCTTCTGTATTTGATTCTGAATTGTTTGACTCGAGATATAACATATTTAGAAGGGACAGACAGTCCTCCTGTTCTAGCAAAGTTGACGGAGGTGGCGTGGCTGTGGCTGTAAAAAATCAATATAATGTTGTAAGGCGCGCTTCATGGGAGAGCAAGTATGAGGACATTTGGTTATCTATTTACTCTAAAGATAATGTATTTATTCTAAATGTATGTATATGTTATTTACCACCAGATCTTCATAGTAGTGATGTCAGGTGTTTTTACGAGAACTTAGAGAAGGTTGTATTGAATGGTCTTGGCAGGGAGGATGGATTTCTAATTATTGGTGATTTTAATACTCCAAATATTGCATGGTCGCCCGATTTGGATGGCTCGCTTAAGCCTGGCATCCTTTCGGACCTCAAATCTTGTTACTTGTCTGATGTTATGGCATTGTGTGGCTTGCGGCAGTTTAACGGGATTTCCAATCAAAACAATCGTTTGCTTGACTTGGTTCTTTCGACGGTCTCCATAGTAGTATCATCAGCTGCTGAACCATTGTCACGCATAGATGTTCATCACCCTCCACTTAAAATAGTACTAAGGAATCTAAAGATACCCAAATATATAAAAAGTAGACGCCATGAAAGGTTTAATTTTCATAAGTGTGATTATAAGGCATTGTGTTGTGATCTATTGCGAATAGAATGGAGTAAGATTTTATCGCCCATTGATGTGGACATTGCGGTATCATCTTTTCAAAATACGCTACTTGAATTGATATCTAAACATACTCCTTTAATAAAAGCTATGGGTAGCGATTATCCCTCATGGTATTCACCTGCTTTAGTCAAATGTCTTAAAGAAAAGGATAAATTTCACAGACGCTTTAAAAAATATTGTAATCCTCGTGATTATGACACGTTCACACTCTTACGTAAAAGATGTAAAGTGCTAATAAAGTCTAATTATACATCGTATATATCTTCAATTGAATCATCGCTTAAGGAAGACGTATTTTTGGAAATTTGTTAACAATAAAAAGCGTTCCTGTGGCATTCCTCAGAACATGTATTTGGGGAATGCTACTGCTACAAGTACGAAGGATATCTGCGAGCTTTTCTCAAATTATTTTAGCTCAGTTTTTGAAAGGAATGCCGTAGTAGGAGATATTACGAGTTTCCAAACTCAGTATCGAGATAATAATCTCATCTCCCAAATTAAAATATCACCAGATGAAGTATTAAAAAAATTAAAACAACTTAATTCCAATAAGGGGCAGGTCCAGATGGTATTCCCACTATTTTTGTAAAACGCTTTGCTGAAGAACTTTGCGTGCCTTTAGCAATCTTGTTTAATAAATCCTTAAACAGTGGCACTTTTCCATCAGCCTGGAAACTTGCTCATGTCATTCCTGTACATAAATCTGGAGATCCAAAGGACTGTGAAAACTATAGGCCCATTAGCATGCTCTCATGTATACCCAAGGTCTTTGAGTCTCTTGTTTATGATTATTTATACCATCACGTTAAATCTATGCTTTCAGAAGATCAACATGGTTTTGTCAAAAACAAATCGACTGTTACAAATCTTCTTGAATATAAAAATTACTTATGTAGAGAGTTCGGTCAATCAGGTCAAGTTGATGCTATTTATACAGACTTCAAAAAAGCCTTTGATAAAGTGAATCACGATCTATTGGTCCGCAAGCTTGCCGGCTACGGTATTCATGGAAGCCTTCTCAGATGGATCCAATCATATTTAAGTAATAGGAGTCAATTGGTTACTATTAAGGGAGTATCTTCTTCACCCATTTCTGTGTTATCCGGTGTGCCCCAAGGATCACATCTTGGCCCTTTATTTTTTATTATTTTTATAAATGATCTTGTAGATAAACTGAAATGCCCCCGGGCTCTATATGCGGATGATCTCAAGATCTTCTATGCCGTTAAAGATATTACTGACTGTCAATTTTTGCAAACCGACTTATACGTTATACAGAAATGGTGTAGAGAGAACTACATGTATCTCAATGTATCAAAATGTTTCGTGATCTCATTTACAAATAAAAAGAACAAACTAGTTTACAATTACGATCTTGACGGTCAGTTTATTACTAGGAGGATGGTGGTCAGAGATCTTGGCATAGAGTTTGATGAAAAGTTATCATTTAAAGAGCATTATAGTACATTAATTACGAAGTCATCTAAACTTCTTGGTTTTATTGCTAGGGTCACGGTTGATTTTAAGAATCCCCATAGCCTTATTCTTTTGTTTAATGCTCTGGTACGAAGTATTCTTGAATACGGTTCTGTTATATGGTCACCTTGCTATAAATGTCATTCCGATAGAATTGAATCTGTTCAGCGAAAATTCTTAAAAATTCTAAGTTATCGTAATGGTTATGGGCGGGTTCTATCAAGTTATGAAAAAAGACTAGAAAAATTTAATGTGACTCTCTTATCTACAAGACGAAAACAGATCGACTTACTTACTTTACACAAAATAGTTCATTACCATATTCACTCGGCTTCTCTACTCTCTGCTTTGACCTTCAATATAAAAACTGTAACACGGAGTTCTAAAACATTTGCACTCTGCGTTTATAAGAACAATACATCGTATTATAACCCGCTTATCCGTATGTGTCGTACTTTTAATGAATTTTCAACTAAGTGTCCTCAAATTGATATCTTCAACTCACGTCTAAACAACTTTAAAAGCATTTTGCAATCGGCCATCGGGTCTCTTTGACATGTCCTTATTCTTTATGTGTTTTTATCGTTTGCATGTGCTTCGCTGTTTTTTGCCAATTTCATGTGCTTTCATTGTATAGCTTTGTAATTTGACATTGTATACCGACTGCTTTGGCCATGCTGTGCATACACGAGTCTGGGTCTCAATCTGGTTCGGTCTATTGTCTTTGTATAATGTCTATCATGTTATTGATTGTAGCCTGTTGTGTGTGCCTTTAATAAATAAATAAATAAATAAATAAATCATCATATTTCATTTAATACAAGGTAACTTCTTGACGATTTTAATCTCTATCGCGCAGTAGTATGTGCGTTATTTTACGTAAACAAAGTTCCAAGTTCGATTCTCAGTCGAGCCAGTTTAGGAAACAAGCTCTTCTAAATTGATTTGGATCTAAGTGTTCTAGATCCTAAGCTCGATATTCATTGTTTAATTCATTGGTTCTTGTGGATGTTTGTGACTTTTAGTGAGGCAGTAGAATACCCAAAGATTATGGGGCGAGAGATAAGATCATTTATCATTGACATGGTGCAAAGGGGGCGTGGGCAGATTAATAAATATATCTAAAACAGTGAGTCAATAATAATAAGATGAGGGACTCTTCTATCTATCCTATTTAAGAGCTACGCTCTTGCCACTCACTACGATTTTCAGCGAGTCTCTTCACTTCTTGATACGACACGACAACAACTCCTTCCTTGATCTGCCTGCTGTAACTATGCCTCGGTCTCCCTCTTCCCCTCCTTCCTTCTATCTTACCTTATATTATAATGTTCATAAGTTCGTCGTGTCATATCAAGTGTCCCAACAGGACTCACCAGAAGGGACTCTTAGAAACAAAAATTTTGGCAATATGGTCGGTGGCTAAAATAAGGTTGAGTAACTATGACACGTACTTTCTAATAAAATATTCTACATAATTTGAAGAGCAACTAATGGGCGTTATTGTATTAAAAAACTAAACAAAACTTTACTACATTTCACTTACCCAGCGGATGTAAACGAGATATTTTTATCGAGTGCAGAGTACCGATGTTCGCCGCGCAGTTTGCCGAGCAGTCGACCTAGCAAGCGCGATTGTCGCCCTCCTCCGTCCATTACCAAATCACTTTATGTAAGTCACTTACTTATTTTTAAATTAACTATAGATAATGTGTCTACATAGGATTGAATTTGATATAGGTACCCTATATGATTTATAAAAAAAATATACTTATTATGGCGCATATATGTGATTAAATTGTGTGCAAATAAAGAATTGGTGGCCAGCTTTATAAGATACATGTAAATCCATCTTTTATTGTGTTTTTAGGTAAATAAACAAATATGCTTTATCACCATTTTGGTCGAAGTAAAATTTTGACGTATACGAATACGCCTATCTCGATTTACTTTATTTTTCACAAGTTGATGATCAAAATGACCTTAGATTAAGGTTTGTCCTACCATGAATTAAGAATGTAGATAAATTGAATAGAAAGGGAATGTGTACTACCAAGCATCTCCTTTCTAGGTCACTTACCTATCTATAAAAATAGTACATTATACTAAGTCTATCTATAAAAATGACAAAAGTACTGGCATATTATATTTTAAAAATATGGATACAAGTCATAATGAAATTAAGACTATTGTAAATCAGGCTGTTTGGGTTAATTCTTTTGCCTTTCGCATGGATAAATTAATAGGCACTACTATTATAGTGAAGTATTAAAAAATATTCATTTCTAAACGTCGTGCAACGTGCGCGTAATACTCCTGGCATTGCAGGTGTTCATAGCCTACGGTAACTTACCATCAGGTGGGCCGTATGCTTGTTTGCCACCTCAGTGGTATAAAAAAAATAGAATAGTAAGTGCCTATTAAGAAAACTGTATTACAAGATCTATTTAGTGATCAACAAATGTCTATAGTGTAATACAGCTTTCTTCTATTTTAAAATTAAATTAGGTAAATTGTGAACAGTTTTAGGAGTACCTTTTGTATTGGGTTGTGAATTTAGAGTTTTATGTATCACCATCATCTCAGCCATTATTCGTCCACTGCTGGACATAGGCCTCCCTCATAGTTGGGAGATTTTACCAGTAGTAACGACGCTTTGGCAGGCGAGTTGGCACTGCAGTTAGGCCTTTGGTGATGTTTTAAGAGGGGCACTATTGCCCATCCTTCAATCATAAGTTCCCTTAGTCACCTCTTATGAAACCTACCGGAAAGGAAAGGGTGGCCCATTCTATGCCGGGATCTACACTGCGATTTTTTGTATGCAATAAAACAGTATTATAAAATTTTAATGTACTGTAATCAATATAAAAATACAATTATTAATATACATAATCGCATCATTGCGAGCGTAGGCATACAATTGTTATCCGTAATAAAAAACAATCGGCAAAACATCAAATGCTAATTGGGAAACATTTTAAGTACAACATTATAATTCGAACAGGCACAAGTCAGTCTGTAAAGTACATTGCAATTAAATTAATTCATATAAAGAATATCCAATACCCTATTCCTTGTTAAGCACTCCAATATTTATCATTTATCAATTTCATTATATGTAACTCATTAATACAACATATTAATAAGAAAATACGAGACTTATAATAAAAAATCGAGATTAGGACATTTTTGGCAGAAGATTTCTAAAATATTATATAATACTATACCAATTGTGACGATATATCTAAAGCTAAGGTCTGGCGATTTGCCACAAGCTGAATAGAACGAGAATACAGGGTTAAAATAAAAATAATCTCCTATTTAAGTAAATAATTAATACCTAGCGTTAAACGATACATTTGTTCAGTAAATAGAGGATTGCATTCTGCGAGGAATAGACGAGTACTGTCCTAAAGCGAGACCACTGCGGGAAAAAGAGCTTGGGACCAGCAACTCCAATGGCATAAACAAAACGACATATCTACATACAAACTAGGCATGGGTAATATGGATACCGATCTGATATCTATATATTGGGTTCCTGTGGACATTGACTGCGGAAAAACGGTCATCAGATCATCACCTATTTCGATATCGCTCATATAGGCCGGATATCTATTTTCGAATATGTTAAAATTCTGTTATCCAATATTACTTTTTTGATAACACACTTTATCATATTCGTCATTGAACCAATATATAGATATTGTAACTAAAATATATAGTTACCCACACCTAATACAAATAAACATCTAGCATTCAACAATAAAGACCGAAGCCGTAGTGGTGATGAAACAGTTGGTAAGACTGACGGATTAATTAACTGTAACACTAACATTGAAGCAGGGGTCGGTGTTTCTGGTGATATATCACAATGGACCACTAGTTTCTTGAACCAAATGTATTTCATCACCACTTAGATTACAATAATTCCATTTAATTGTATCTGAACATAAGTAACTTGAGCAAACAATTCTAAAATTTACTTCATCATTATTGACATAAGTTTCAATTTCATTAGATTACAATGTATCTCACGTTGTCGATATAAAATTGAGTTTATGTACTGATTGAATGAAACTTCATCAGGTATCACAAAATATGACACCCAAACCATCACTGATATTAAACGAAACTGAACTTAATATCTAATGACAGAAGGTTTACATGGCCAAGTATACAAATGACAATTATTGTACATACCGCAACGGACAATGTATTACAACCGAAGCTAACCTAATTTCAACTGGTCCCAGCAAGAATCTTAATTATGCCACGAAACTAAGCTTTATAGCATTGTCCAGTCTTACCAGAGCCCTGAGGAGAAACCGCCAGGAGGACGCGTACGCGCTTCGGGCCTTCGACTTTTGGTGGCTCGATTACGGCCGGCTCCGGCTTGCTCTCAGTCTTGGTTGGGCTTTCGACGTTTGTCGGTGTTTCTGGCTGAACGTCGGGAACGGATTCTACTCTTTGCTCTTGAGGCGACTCAGGGGTGACGGCTTGGCCGTTTTGCGCCGGCGCGTCTGTCCCATTTGTCGGTTTGGCTGGTTCGTCGCCTTGACCTGCAATTTTATATTTTTAATTAAATTATGGAAAGCTATTTCGTCAGTTTTTTTTTTTTTATTTTTAATAAACGAAAATGAAATATTATTCCTGTCTGCGCTAATAATATACACTAGCAGCGCACCAGTGAAGAGTGATAGGTGGAGATGACGCATTCATAAATAATTAACTACGACGGTTTCCAGGTAGAACCGCGTGGAGGTCGACCTGATAGGGTATTTTGCAAGTAATGGGGTCTCCATTACTAACAATCCCTTTCCCCCCAAATATCGTCACAGTTGGGCTATCCAAAAAAATAAGATCATTCGGCAGAAATTATTGTTAACTGTCGCATTTTACTAGCAATATATTGTTAGGATGACCGTCATGCGACCCCTCTGGTAGCCATCGTATTTGGTATTTTGGGAATTCATCACGTTGCGCCAACTCTCCTGACTTCATCCTCACTGCATCATCATATGTATCAGCTTATGTTACATTCTGTTTTCTATATATAGTTCTGTGTTACCAATAGTGTTGCCGGAGTTAGCATTCTATTTTCATCAATTAAAAAAGGTCGAATAATGTTAATTCTGGTCGATACCCAAATATGACAAGAGAAGTTTAATTATACTTTTACTACTGGGAAAATAAAAGGTAAACGTGTTCAACCATAAGGAATAGACCAATGAACTGAAAAACTCATAATAGACACGTGCGGTAGTTTTTATAAAAAAAATAAAAAAAATAATAAGTAAGTAATTTTAAAGAACGACCTACATACTCCATTAACTATTTACTACTTATAAATGGTTTTGCAAATCACAAATGTTTACCCATCGTTATGTAAAGGAGAATTGAGGTTTATCAACTGTTAAGGATATATAAAACATTAAAAAGTGCGTGGGCAGGACCTTTACACATCATACCGTAAAAGGAAAGTTGGTTGTAACCAAGTAAGGATTATAATAGTGCTTAATGTAATAACGAATCCGACTTATTCACCTCATTACCTTATTACCCAATTTTACCTAATTTATTAAAAGGGGAGGTCACAAAAAAATATGCTGCGGTAAGATATTATCTCGAGAATAGAAATTAACCGCGCATATCATTTAACCAGCTACAGCAGGATATATATTTATTTATTTGACTCTTTATAGCACCATAAACAAAAATATACAATGACAAGTGAATAATTCAAGTGAAATACAGATGGAAATATACATATAAAGGTACGCGAAGGCGGTCTTATCGCTAGGGCAATCTCAATCTCAATATACAGGGGGGAGGGATTGTTAGTAAAGGGAGGTTAGTCCCCATTGCTATCAATATACCTCATTAGGTCGACCTCTACGCGGTTCCCCCTGGAAACCATCCTGACTAATTTATCGTTGAATTCGTCACGATGGGCTAACTGACCTACCTTTCCATCCACACCTATCATCTCTCACTGGTGCCCCGATAGTGTATACCGATAGCGCAGGCGGGGTTACCATTCCATTAACATCTATTAAAAAAAAAATCTTAATATACCACAGCTTTGTCACTATTATTATTAACAGTTGAGAATTCGGTCTATATTTTGACCCAATTTTGTACAAATCCATTCAGTCATTTAAGCATGACAGAGTGACACAATCGTTTAAACATCTTTGCAAACTTTAGTAAGCGTTGCAATCGCTCGATTACAGACTCTCGGTAATCGAGAGAGCAGAGGCCGCCAGCGCCGCCTCCCAGCTCGATTCCATGATTGTATACTCTAGATTAGCGAATGAGTTGTCTCTGCCTTTTAATTACACTGTACTGTCTGTAAGGTTATTTTGAGATTGTCCATGTTTTTTTGTGTACTACAATATTTGATACGATTTATGTGGTTACCTCCAGTAAAAGTATATTTCCACAATAAAAAACGTTTTCTTTGGCCCGTAACCCCAAGAACTCACTATTATAAGATTATGTGACTTCAAAATAGGCAAGTTTCTCGATTCGCATTTGTATTTTTTATATTATATTATAACATCTATCTTCACTAATTTTAATAATTCTTTTAATAATAAAATCCCACGTAGTAATAATATATAGCAATATCTATATATTTTAGTTACAATATCTATGTACTGATCCCATAACGAATAAGTCTATTATTAAAAAAAATAATATTATATAACAAACTTTTAACATATTCCAAAATAGATATCCGACCGTTATGGGGGATATCAAAATAGGCGATGGCCTTTTCTCCGCCATCAATGTTCAGAGGAATCGAATATATAGATATCGGATCGGTATCTGTATTACCCATGGCGTGAATTTACTGGGTACAGAGGAATAACATCTAAGTCCTCAGGAATGACAACGCCTGGGGAGTATCATGGGCGAAACAGTATACTCTGTTATATCCATGGTACTGCTCATGTCTATAGGCGACGGTTACCACTTTCCATCAGGTGGGCCGTCAGCTTGTTTGCCATTCTAAGTTGTATAAAAAAAAAATACCGTGTATTTCTTATTGAGCCACGATTAAAATCTGCTTTGATTTGTCAAATCTCTACTAGAAATGTCTATTAACACAATATGAGATAGAAGACAATAAATGGTTTCCATTATTTATTATTGTTTATACAGTATACTTTACAGCGAAATTGCGAAACGGTGTAAATTTACCGTGCCCTAAACCCGATACCCCGCTTGCATTTATGACGAACGCTTCATGCGTGGGGGCGGTGTTGCAACCGGTAGGAAATATGTGGGACACCTAGGCTGTTTCTTGAAATTATCACTGACGCAACACAATACATCGCTTATGATAAAGAACTCCTTTTAGTATTAATCTATTTATATTTCTATACTATATTATATTATAAAGAAAAAACATTTGATTATTTGTTTGTTTGTCTCACAAACTCAAAAATTTCTCAACCAATTTTAAAAAATATTTCACTTATAGGAAGGTACATTATCAGCCAGTAACATAGGCTTATATATGGTTTAAAAAAAAATAAGATTCTCCCTATTAAAATTACAATAATAAAATCCAAAATATAAAACATGGTAAATATTATAAAATGCATGCCATGTGAAGCCGGGACTTTTTTAAGGGTAATAATGGAATGGTAACCTCGTCTGCTGGCGAAGCACCAGTGAAAGATGATGATAAAAAGGCAAGACAGTTGACAGATCGTGTTGAATTCACCTGTAATTGAACACAACGGTTTCCAAGAAGGACCGCAAGGAGGTCGACCTGGGTACATTGCCAGTAATGGTGGTGCCAGTAGATTGATAAATAGATGCTCTCAATGGTAAAAGTCGTCGACTATTTGGTAATACCAATAATAGGAGGGAAGGGACTGTTAATGTTGGGGTCTAATTTCCCCATTACTATCAATACAGCCCATCAGGTCGACTTCCACGCGGTTCCCCCTGGAAACTATCGTGGTTTATTCTAATAGATTCTATTCTGATAGAATTCGTCACAATGGGCTAACTGACCTGCTTTCATCGTCACCTATCATCCCTCACTGGTGTCCCGCCAGCGTATACCGATGGCGCAGGCGGGGTTACCATTTCATTATCACCTATTAAAAAAAAAATAATAATAAAAGAAATTACCAGAATTAGCGTTGGCGTTGGCGTTGGCATTAGCAATCGCTATGGCAGACGCTAGGCGGCGTCCGCGAGGGGGCTCCGGGTCCCCACCGAAGATGTCGGTGTGCCCGCCGCCAGGAGGGCGTAGCACCCTGCTGGATAGACGCGTGCCTTCAGTCAAACCAACGTTGAAGGGTGTAGAAGTCATTCTGATTGTATCTGGAAACAATTAAGTTGAGACTTTAATTTTCAGTGAAACAAACCTTAAACGAATCGCTACTGTATACAGGAGATAGAATGAGATAGCAACATGCGAGCGATAACGAAATCGTGTCTACCAAAAATTTGTTATCCACTTGTTTAAAGTAGACAAAATTAGAAAAATCTATATGAATAACCTAACCACATACAAAAGTATACACAGATTCGACTTAGTCTACTATAAACACCAAACTACGTCATAAAATTCATAACCGAAAACTTCACCAATTTTCATACATTATCTACACAATTAATGTGTCACAACGTTGTAAGGTCGGTGATTCGGGTCGCGATAAACGTAATTTGACATGCTCATGTCGGTGAAAAAAATATTAACATTATGAATCGAAAATAATGGGTTTTATTTTGTTTCAATTAGTTTGAGGATATTAAATTCATTATTAGCTTCAGTTTAATGTATATACAGTGGATTTCATTTATTACGACCTTGGTTGTAGCGACCATTTGCCTATAGCGACGTTAAATCTAAGTCCCTTAAATTTAAAGCATACTTTAGTACAACATTCATGTGGCTATAGCGACTTTGGATGTAACGCCGAGTTCGGGTGTAACGACTGTTTTTAATGAATCATTTGTAACAAATTCCTAGAAATCCCATGCAGATATTGCGACCGAAGTTGGCCGCTAAAGAGACACCAAGATTTCTTTCTTTCACAAACATTTCTAACCTTTTGTTTCCATCCACACAGATCGTTAGCAAATGTGGAGACCTTTACCTATTGTTTATAGATAGCAGCTAAGTAGGTAGGGAAGCGTGTACGCTTCGGAGTTGAATTTATGGTTCACTTACAAAGTGATATTCTGAGTAGCAACTGAATTTAGTAAATTTTTGGATAAGTATGGCTGTCTCGACGTACATTCACTGTTAAAGGAAAGGTGGAAATCATTTCTTAATTGAAAGACGGTGAAAACAATGCTGATTTGTGCGAAGAGAAAACTATACATGTGTAGGTGCCTGTATCTCTTTACTTTTGGCTGTAACGACTTCCGGATATAACGACGAAAATAGAGCGGTCCCTTCATCGTCGTTATACCCGAAATCCACTGTATGTCATCAGCCGTTACCTGTCCATAGTCACCTGTTACACAACCTACGGGAAAGTAAGGGGTGACACGTTCTAAACCGGGGTTACACGGCAATTAGGGTTTAAAGGCTACTTTTTATCCCGGTGAATGTATATATCCCGGTCACGCGGACGAAATCGCGAGTAATTACTAGTAATAAAGTCAAATAAATAGACGAGAACTTCAACTTCTATTATCAGTAATGTGTACGTACTTAATACTATAATAGTTCTGTATAAAATAATACTAGCATTCAACAACTTAATTAGCTATGCAGTAGAGACTGCAATTAGACGACAGACAAGAAAACTGCTTATCATAATATCGTGCTCACATCCTCCGCCCGATATGGAATAATTAATGTAATGTACCGCATTGTTTCCACTCAGGTGGCATCTCATCCCAATATAACATATATAGCATTTTGTAGTATCTATTTGATGTATATGTATTTGTATACATCACATTTTTCAATTTCAATTGAATCCACTAAAATTGTATTTATTTTTGTCAACTTTAGTCAGATAAGATAACAGATAGAAACAGGAACGATAAAAGACATATCTTCTATTATTTATTCTTTCTATCAATACGTAGAAAGAATATGAAAAGTTCGAAATTATTAAAAGTAAATACTACAATATCGCTGAATCTGGTTTCAATAGACTCTCTGAGGTGACGGTCTTTGAATTCAGTGAAGAATTGAAGATATTACTTCGTAAAAGCGTACAGCTAAAAAAAATAACATATTATCAACACGAGAATACCTGATCGCATATTTCAAAAATAGATATCAGAATCGGTAATAATTAGCAAAGATATAGTGTAACATTACAAAATAACAGTCGAAATTTTAATTAAGTAAAACAAAATGTATAATTATTATTTTTTATATGTAATTATATTCCTTCTACTTGGACTTTAACGTCATCGCCATTATCTAATAACGGTCTTATATTATCCTACATTATCATTTATTGTATAGGTCGATTCATCCGTTCAGATGAGTTTACCCTTTAAATGAGTTTACTAGTAATCACTACGAAATATTGTTAAGTACGTACATTGTTTTCATGCGACAATGAACCGTGGGTGATTAATTTCTAAACACAATTTCCTATAGACAAAAAATCGGCCAAGTGATTAATGAATACAATGGCCGGGCTCCGTCAAACAGTGACATCATTAATATCCAATGAATTGTCCCATAAGCTTATGTGATCCGCATATAAATAAATAAGTATTTACGTACGTTACAAAATATGTTTACAGATTTTGATAATGACATGTTTTTTTTTATACAACTTAGAATGGCAAACAAGCTGACGGTCCACCTGATGGAAAGTGGTAACCGTTGCCTATAGACATGAGCAGTACCATGGACATAACAGAGTATACTGTTTCGCCCATGATACCCCCCATGCGTTGCCATTCCTGAGGATTTCTAATTTTAAGTTTGAATGTTTTTTTTTTTTGGGTTTCGTTTTCCCTATAAATAGGGAAGGGAAGGAATAGGGAACGACCTACAAAGCCGTTGTTGTCTACAGTTAATATCTAGTATTTTTTTTTTGTTGTTATTTTCTTTTTGATATATCAAAGTTTGGACGAGTAAATTTAACACATTTTTTTTTAACTAGGCAGCATGGTCACCGACCTTAGCCTGTTCCATAACGGAACAATGTAGTAAAAAAATGTAATAAAAACGCGCCATTTTCAGTGTAGCAATTAATTAGATTAAAAATTTGAATTTATTTCTTCTAATATAATCTATATCTAATCTAATATAATCGATACGTATACATGTGTACATATCGATTGTAAACTAAAATGGCGGTCATTTATTCAATGATTATAAAACGAAAACATAAGTCTATACTTGGAAGTAATCAGTAAAGATGAGCATCACTATGAATCATAATGATGCATTGTTTATATTATCCTTTCAAATATAGTCGTCGGTAAGAAATTTGTATCGTTTGTATTTCTCAACTTTACAATATAATTATAAGCATTTCTACTCATACGATGGGTAAAAGAAAATCCTCAGCACTTTATTATCTAAATTTATATAAACTTGTAATTAAATTTCAATTATACAATCTTGTTCTGTTTGTTAATTAAATGTTTATAAATAAATACCCTAAGTACCTAACATTGAGTCAGACCTATCATTGCCTTGTTTGTTGTGCAAGCATATTTTATGGGTACTATGAACTAACTTAACTCATTGTAATAATTATAATTGCTAAACGTTTGTTCTAGTAAAAATAAATAAACGTTTATCATTTTTTTTTGATGGGTGAAAATGGTATGGTAACCCCGTCACCGTAGCACAGGCGGGGTGCCTGTGCTAACGGTATACGCTGGCGGAGCACCAGTGAACGGTGATAGATAAGAATGAAAACAGGCCAGTTAGCCCATCATGATGAATTCATCAGGAATTAACCATGATAGTATCCAGGGAGAACCGCGAGGAGGTCGACATGGTTGGGTATATTGCTAGCAATAAGATTCTCAGTCTCCATTACTAACAATCCCTTGCCCCAAACGTTTATCATTACTAAATGATTATAATTTCTCCCATATACTAAATAATAAAAGTATAATTATGGCAATCCTATTCACAGACATGAATAAATAGACTTATTTATAATAAAGCATATATATGGAGACGCTCTATCTATATAATCTAAGATATAACTATATTGTCAGCACATAGTTCTCCCTGGAAACCATTGTGGTTAATTCTAGCGGAATTTGTCACGATGAGCTAACTAACTTGCTTTCATCATCACCTATTACCCCTCACTGGTAATCCATCAGCGTATACCGATAGCGCAGGCGGGGTTACCATTCCAGTATCACCCAATAAAAAAAAAACTATATTGTCAGCAAACAGGTATAAACAGATTAGGTTAATGATCACAAACGTTAAGTTCGTAAACAGAAAATTGATACTCACAGTTTGAAAATAGGCATGATACGTCCATATTTGATATAACAAGCATTAGTAGGCTATTTTAAAATATTTGCTTATCATCTCCTATCCAAGAAATAGGTATTGGCGACCCGCACGCATGCTAAAGGTAAAGGAGTTAAGGGACCGCCTGAAAATCAGCGCTATATATGTACATCACGCTGGAGCTGTACATGTATAGCTACAGCTGAGGCGGCTCTTATTACCAGCAACATTAATTGTTCTTTTTTCTTTTTGTTGTTTGAATTTTTTATTTTCTTTATAGAGGTAATAAAGGTCATCTATCTATCTATCTAATTATCCTATAATTACTAATCATGTATGAAATCTTTCAACCGGATATTTCATTTGTTTACACAAAACATCTAAGTTGTTAACTAGTCATAACGATTATTAACGGTAGTTTAGAAACCTTTGGTATGTAAGGTATGTGGCTATTTGGTGAATATACGAGTACAAGTTTTGGTGAAAGTAACACCGCTAGTTTTTCTTAATACATATTTGTCTTATTTGTACAGTATTCATATTCTAAAAGAAGCAAGTTCTCGATTCCATTAAATTATATTTTTGAAAAACAGACGTCATTGCGATGACGTCATCAATTGTGAACAGATATTCACTATAAAATATTTTTTTCAAGCAATAGAATTCACCTCCATATTAATGTCATAATCATTTTATGACAATTAATTGTACTTTTATTATGCGAAGCATAAAACCTATTTGTTGCGAAGCACTACTCATACGCGAGTACACACACAATTCCGAGCTCTAAATTTAAAATATTGAAAATCTAACGATGTCTACATAATTATAAAACATTTTGTTAGTTTTTTTTTTCTTTTAAAAAAGGAACAATGTGATTACCAGTGAGAAAATAAACACTACGTTTATT